TTCACCATGTTGGCCGGCTGGTCTTGAACTCTGCCTGCCTCAACCTCCCAAAGTGCTGGGATTACCGGTGTGAGCCACTGCGCCTGGCCTGTGCCGTCTTTTGTACAAATTCAAAATCAAGGCCAGGCATGGTGGCTCATACCTGTAATCCCAGCACTTTGGGAGGCCGAGGTGGGTGGCTCACTTGAGGTCAGGAGTTCAAGACCAGCCTGGCCAACATGGTGAAACCCCATCTCTACTAAAAATACAAAAAAATTAGCCAGTCCTGGTGGTACGCGCCTGTGAGCTCAGCTACTTGGGAGGCTGAGGCAGGAGAATCACTTGAACCCAGGAGGTGGAGGCTGCAGTGAACAGAGATTGCTCTACTGCACTCCAACCTGGGCAACAGAGAAAGATTCCATCTAAAAAAAAAAAAAATACAAAATCACAGTCTTATGTAATTGCTTTAAAATTGTGTGAGGTGCATTGGGAGCATAGGGGAAGGAGCCCTAAATCTATTTGAGAGGGAGAGTAAGGCTTCACAGAGCAGGTAGCAATTGAATCATAACAACTGACTAAAAGTTTCAGACAGAGAAAATATAGCAGAGAAAATAGCCAAGTCATGGAGGGGTGAGATAATGTGGTGTGTTTAATAGTTGAGTATTGATAATAAAGTGGGAAAAGAGAATAGATTTTAAAATGGTTAGGTAGGATTGATCAAATTTAGAGATTGTTTATGAGGTGTGAAGGTCAAAGAGGAGTCCAAGGATACTTACAGGTTTTGGGGTTTATGGTGATACCATTTACTGAGGGGTTAGAACAGGATTTTGGAGGAAGTACTAAGTGCAGTTTGGGGTCTGTTGTGTTTAAAGGGCTTGTGGGATATTCAAGTGGTAAATTGCATAAGGAGCCATTTGCACATAAAAATCTGGGATTTGGAGATTGAAAAGTTATCTACTTGGAGATGTAGGGCTTCCAGATAAAATATAGGATGCCAGGTTAAATTTTACTGTCAAATAAACAATGGTAATTTTTATTATGAGTATTGCATGCAATACTTGGAACACACTTATTCTAAAATAGCATTATTTCAGCTATAGCTAAAAAGAAGGTTTCCTTTTCCTGTAAGATAGTAGGACAGTTTGCTGAGCGGTTTGTAGGTAAGGTGGAGGGGGTTGAGGGATTTTGAGGGAGTTCTTAGTTACTTCTTTCTACCTGGTGAAATTGAAACATAATGAGCAGGAAAGATGTAGAGTTTGGACTTGTGAGCTATGAAGGTTTAGAAAAGTTACTTTCTGAGGTAAAAGAAACCAGTCAGGGAAATATAACAGAAATATCAGAAAAATTTTAGAAATTGAGTTGATAAGGCAAAGTAATTTTTATTGAATCTGGCCAGGCATTATGGCTCACGCCTGTAATCCCAGCACTTTGGGAGGCCAAGGCGGGCGGATCACGAGGTCAGGAGATAAAGACCATCCTGGCTAACATGGTGAAACCCCGTCTCTACTAAAAATACAAAAAAATTAGCCAGGTGTGGTGGCGTGCGCCTGTAGTCCCAGCTACTTGGGAGGCTGAGGCAGGAGAATGGCGTGAACCTGGGAGGCAGAGCTTGTAGTGAGCCGAGACTGCGCCACTGCACTCCAGCCTGGGTGACAGAGTGAGACTCCGTCTCAAAAAAAAAAAAAAATATTTTTTTTTGTTGAATCTTAAACACTCATTTTGGTAATTTGAAGAGGTATATAATACTTTTAACATCCTCTTCATTTTGCAAGTGTCAGTAAATATTGTTATTTAAGTATAATGTTTAAGAACATGCACTTTGGCCGGGCGCGGTGGCTCAAGCCTGTAATCCCAGCACTTTGGGAGGCCGAGACGGGCGGATCACGAGGTCAGGAGATCGAGACCATCCTGGCTAACACGGTGAAACCCCGTCTCTACTAAAAAAAAAAAAATACAAAAAACTAGCCGGGCGAGGTGGCGGGCGCCTGTACCCGGGAGGCGGAGCTTGCAGTGAGCTGAGATCCGGCCACTGCACTCCAGCCTGGGCGACAGAGCGAGACTCCGTCTCAAAAAAAAAAAAAAAAAAAAAAAAGAACATGCACTTTGGATTGAATAGACTTACATTCCTTCATTTAGCAAGTATTTATTAAATGCCACAGTTATTAAAATAATAAGTATGAGAACTAGCACTTTGGCTGGGTGCAGTGGCTCACGCCTGTACTCCCAGCACTGTGGGAGGCCAAGGCAGGCAGATCACCTGAGGTCAGGAGTTCAAGACCAGCCTGACCGACATGGAGAAACCCTGTCTCTACTAAAACTACAAAATTAGCCGGGCGTGGTGGCGCATGCTTGTAATCCCAGCTACTCGGGAGGCTGAGGGAGGAGAATCACTTGAACCCTGGAGGCGGAGGTTGTGGTGAGCCAAGATCACGCCATTACACTCCAGCCTGGGCAAGAAGAGCAAAACTCCATCTCAAAAGAAGAAAAAAAAAGAACTAGCATTTTGTGTTCGTATCATGCTTACTTTTGACTTTGACTAACTAAGATGCCATGATGTGTACTTTATTTATATTAAGTCATTTGCCCCCTCCCTCCCCATTGGCCCTATGGGTTAGGTAATATTATCTTTATTTTACAGATAAATTGAAACTAAGAAAGATTAAATAGCTTGTTTAGGAGCCAAGATCATATGTTTCTGTCTGCTGTTAGAACCCATAGTCGTTACTGTTATGTTGACTGTGTTGGGCGGTTGGGTATACAGGGTTGAAAAAAACAGATATTGTCCATAATGGATGTGATCTTTTCAGTCTAATGTGTGTGTAGGGGGAAGGATGAATGTTAGGCATTATTCAAATTATCCAAATAAGTAATGAAATGATTTAGTGCTGTGAGAGAAAGGAGATGGGAGAGATTACTACAACGGGGGAACTTTATTTCAATTGGGCCAGAGTTTGAATTCATTGTAGTAATTACTTTATATTTTCACATGTATGACGGTGCTATGTTGGGTTTTAGAACAGAGAGACTGGCTGGGTGCGGTGGCTCATGCCTGTAGTCCCAACACTTTGGGAGATGGAGGTGGGCGGGTCACCTGAGGTCAGGAGTTCAAGACCAGCCTGACCAACATGGTGAAACTCTGTCTCTACTAAAAATACAAAAATTAGTTGGGCATAGTGGTGGATGCCTGTAATACCAGCTACTCGGGAGGCTGAGGATTGCTTGAACCCGGGAGGCAGAGGTTGCAGTGAGCTGAGATGGCGCCATTGCACTCCAGCCTGGGCAACAGAGCGAGACTCCATCTCAAAAAGAAGAAGAAGAAGAAGAAGAAGAAGAAAAAAAAAAAAGAACAGAGAGACTGAGTTTGATTCCCATCTTTGCACGTAGTCTCTCTGTGACCTTGGGCAAGTTGCTGAACATCTCTTAGCTTCACTTTCCTCATCTATAAAGAAGGGATATCTTATAGAGAGCACCTCTTTGGGTGCTCAGTACATATCATGGGAACTGTTGAATTAATGCAGTGGTTCCTAGTTTTTGGCATTTAATAGTCTGAAGAAATTTCTAAAGTAACTTTGGAACTAACATAGCTACTCATTTATTTTGCTACATGTGGGGAGATTAAAAATACAACTGCCATTTATTACCATCAGTGATTCAGAAAAGTAAGACTTTTTAAAAAAACTTTCTGTTTTGAAATATGTAAGGGTATTTTAACATTAAAAAAAGGATGGTTATAATTTCAGAATAAAGAACCATTCAAAATAGGCATTTACATTTTTAAAATGTTTCATGATTACATTTTGTTTTAAAACGTTTTAAAGAATGTAGTAAGAATAAATAGGATTCTGTCTGTGATGATTTTATGTATAATGAGCAGATTGCATTGACACTCTTGTATCTTTTCTGTCATTAACAGAAAAGACAGCTTGTAAGTCTAAAATGATTGAAATCCAAACTCTAAATGATTCAGATTTAATTTTTTTTTTTTTTTTTTTTTTTGAGACAGAGGCTCTCTCTGTTGCCCAGGCTGGAGTGCAGTGGCACAATCTCAGCTTACTGCAGCCTCTCCTCTCGGGTTCAGGCAATCCACTGCACTCCAGCCTGGGCAACAGAGAAAGATTCCATGTAAAAAAAAAAAAGTGATTCTTCTGCCTCAGCCTTCCTGGTAGCTGGGACTATAGGTGTGAGCCACCACGCTCAGCCACATTTAATTTCATTGATTGCTCCTTTTTGCCGGGTGCGGTGGCTCACACCTGTAATCCCAGCACTTTGGCAGGCCAAGGTGGGCAGATCACCTGAGGTCAGGAGTTTGAGACCAGCCTGGCTAACGTAGCAAAACCCCGTCTCTATTGGAAAAAACACAAAAATTCGCCGGGTGTGGTAGCGCAAGCCTGTAGTCCCAGCTACTTGGGTGGCTGAGGCAGGAGAGTCGCTTGAACCCAGGTGGTGGAGGTTACAGTAAGCCAAGATCGCGCCATTGCATTCCTGGGTGACAGAAGAGACTCCATCTCAAAAAAAAAAAAAAATTATTGCTCCCTTTTAAACACACTATCTAAAAAATAGATAGTGCTCAGCATTTGGAATAATTTTGTATTACTCCCATATATCAAAATTACATTTGAAAAGTAGATAAAAGTATTTTAAAAGATTCTCTAATTCTGAAAGATTGTCTTCGTAAAGATTAAATCTAGTCTAATAACTTGTAAATTTTGACTTTTGAGGTGTTTGTGAAGGTATTTATGATTAGACTGTTTAAGAGATTAATAGGGCCGGGTGTGGTGGCTCATGCCTGTAGTCCCAGCTACTTGGGCAGCTGAGGCAGAAGAATCACTTGAATCTGGGAGGCAGAGGTTGCAGTGAGCCAAGATTGTGCCACTGCACACCAGCCTGGGTGACAGAGCAAGACTCCATCTCAAAAAAAAAAAAAAAGATGAATAGGATAGAATAATTTTTTTTTTTGCTTGAATTTCTAGTTTACTTACATACACTGTATTCATTGCTCTTTTTTCTTTTCTTTTTTAAAGGAGTATGGAAGTGCCCAACAGCCAAAAATTCAAGAAAGTGAATTGAAAATTAGTGGTGTGTTTTCAGTTAATGAGAGACCTCTTGGTAAGAAATGGAACTGTATAAGTTAATTACAATTAGTATTTGCTTATTCTGACTTGTAAAATTGAGAGAAAGCATCTTTTCATGTATGTCTTTCTCTTTCTTTAGAGCTGTGGTTTTTCAAACTGTGAGTAGCTGGTTTTCAGCAGCGTTTTAAAAAATAAAATAGAATAAGATTATATCAGAATATGATACGTATAGTAAGGAAACATATTGTTTCATAAAATTTCTGTTTCAGTAATTGAAGTGAACACACATCCCCACATTTACAAACATATGTATATGAGAACTGGGTTATAATATTAAATATATTTCCTACTTTGAGTCATGGTAAAAAAAAAAATTGAAACCTCAGTTTTGGAGTGCTTATTCCTCATTGATACTCATTGCCTCATTGATACTGGATTTCAAGATAGGGAATTTGTCCTAAAAAAGAGAGACTGGGCCGGGTGTGGTGGCTAACACCTGTAATCTCAGCAACTTGGAAGACTGAGGCAGGTGGATGGCTTTTGCTCAAGAGTTTGAGACCAGTCTGGGCAACATAGTGAGACCTTATCTCTGCTAAAAATTAAAAAAAAATTAGCTGGGTGTGGTGGCGTGTGCCTGTAGTCCCAGCTACTCAAGAGGCTGAGGCGGCAGGATTAGTTAATCCTGGGAGTTTGAGGCTTCAGTGAGCTATGATTGCACCACTGCCTTCCAGCCGGGGTGACAGTGAGACCCTGTCTCAGAAAAAGAAAGAGAGAGAGAGAGAGGGTGAGAGAGAGACTGAGACTGTATATGCATTAGTATTGATACTAAAACTTTTTTTATTTTGTTTTGATAGCCCAGCAGTTGAACCCAGGCTTTCAGCTTTCTTTTACATCATCTGGCCCAAGTGTATTGCTTCCTTCAGTTCCAGCTGTTGCTATTAAGGTTTTTTGTTCTGGTTGTAAAAAAATGCTTTATAAGGGCCAAACTGCATATCATAAGACAGGATCTACTCAGCTCTTCTGCTCCACACGATGCATCACCAGACATTCTTCACCTGCCTGCCTGCCACCTCCTCCCAAGAAAACCTGCACAAACTGCTCGAAGTATAAAATTCTTAACATCCCTTTTTACTGTACCTTTTTTTAGTGTGTATATAGTTTAGTTCAAACATGCTGTTGATACTTTAAATCTCTTTAGCATGTATCCGTAGAAATAACTTTTTAGCTAATGGAAGAATTAGCCAATTTTAAAGTTTTGCAACATTAAATAAGTGACATGGTATTAGAATGATGATTAAACCAGTTTTCTGTCACTTTAGATTTTACTATGGAAAGAAATAACAAATGACATGTGGGAATTGCAGGACTATCCTGTAATTGTAGACACCCACCATTTAAATTTATTTAACAGTTATCTTGAAAGTTACTTGGTATAGCATAAAATAATTTCACTCTTTTAATAGTATATGAAAGCTATTTAATTCTTTAAAAAGTAAAAACTCCACATGGTCACAAAAATGTGTTTATTTCTAATGTCCTTGTGGGGTCATTGTTGCTTTACAATAATGCTTAGATGCAGAGAGAAGAAAATACAGCAACAAAGTCACATAAATCTTTCCCTGCCGTAGTACATTTGAAGGATTTGGCATGTTTTACCTATTACTGTGGTAGTGTAATTTGAGGAATACAGTGTGTTGTTAGTAGTCACTATGGGCAAAAAATGGTAAAAGCTTGCTTTTAAACTGTGGCTCTATCATTTATCTCTGTGACTTCGGACTAGATATTTAACTTTCTAAGCCTCCATTTCTCATCAGTAAATAATAGTTGCTTCCTAGGATTTTAATGAGACAGTGTTAGCACATGGCCTAGCGCACAGCAAGTACTTAATAAACGGAATCCTGTTATTGATAATAAAAATTATATCATGTGTTACTGTTTATAGTTAACATGATAAATATATTAAATTTAATAAATATATGTATATATAATACATATTACTTTGTATACTTAACATATCACTTGTAGGCCCCTATTTTGTCTTTGGCCATGTTTATCTGCTTTGTGTCTTGACCTAAACTATCTAAAAGTAGATCCTGCTATATGGAAATTTCCAGCTAAACAGGAGAGAGGATGTTTTTTTTCTTTGTTGGCCATGCTGGAGTGCAGTGGCATGATCACTGCTCACTGCAGCCTTGAACTCCCTGGGCTCAGATGATCCTCCCACCTCAGCCTTTCAAGTAGCTGGGACCACAGGCGCACACCACCATGCCCGGCTAATTTTTATATTTTTTGTAGAGATGGTTTTGCTATGTTGCCCAGGCTGTTCTCAAACTCCTGGGCTCAAGCAATTAGCCTGCCTCAGCCTCCCAAAGTGCTGGGACTATTGGCATGAGCCATCATACCTGGCCAGGAGAGAGGAATTTTAAAATATTTATATACTCTAAATTAGTTTGTTGCAAAATACCCTTCTAATTAACACTTTTATGTCGTACTCATGAAACTAATCTGAAGAAGTAAACTTAGTTTTCTATTTTTAGATATTGTTTCAACATACCAAATATCAAAATAAAATTAAATAATTTTATTTATTTAAAGAACATAACACAACTTATACATCCAAATGCCTATTGTTTTCTTAAAAGTAGTCACCCCGTCAGTGACTTTTTAGCATAAGATTAGGAGACAGATTCTTATCTTTTCCGCATGCATTTGATTTTTACAAATTTTCAAAGGCGCTTGATACCTTAATCAGGCTAATATAGTAGCTAATTAAATTGAGTCATACTGGTAAAACATGAGATTTATAAAATTAAAAGTTAAAAAATAGTCTAAAGGTTTATCTTAAGTTTTGTCTTAAAAAATGAGAAAAACGTTTGAGCTATGTTATTGTTGGAAGAGGTGTGGTTTTTCTAAGGTAAATGTTATGGTATAACACTCATTTGAGTGTGTAAAGTTCAGAGTACATTTATAATTTATGTGCACAGATTTTCATTATAAAATTACTCTCTTTGATTTACGTATTTTTACTTACTATTTTTTTACTTATTATGCCACTGGCAGATTCACCTTATTAAGTGAAACTCTTAATTGCTCTGTTTTCAGTAGAAAAATCACTTTTCAAAATTAATACTTCATCTGTATATTATAAGCATATTCTTTTGGTTTCCAAGATTTGCTGTCGTATTTTTACAGTTGAGTTTTAAATAATTAAAATAATTTTCATTGTTGTTATTTTCTCATGGTTTACCATTGAATACACCTGTATAATAAAGGTGCTAGATGGGAGGCACCATAGTGGAATAATTAATTCCATAGACTAGAGTCAGACTATCTGGATTTGTATTTCAGCTTTACTGCCTACTAGCAATATGATTTTGACAAGCTGTTTAACCTCTGATTCAGTTTCCTCATCTGTAAAGTGGCAGTTGCAGTAATACTTAACCTCATAGTAGTTTGGGGATTTTTTTTTTTCTTTTTGAAACAGGGTCTCACTCTGTCACCCAGGCTGGAGTGCGGTTGTGTGATCCCACCTAACCATAGCCTCTGCTTCCTGGGCTCAAGCAGTCCTCCCAGCTCAGCATCCTGAGTAACTGAGACCATGGGCGTGAGCCAGCATGCCCTGCTAATTAAAAAAAATTTTTTGTAGAGATTGGGTCTTGCTGTGTTGCCCAGGCTGGAGTGCAGTGGCATGATCATGGCTCATTGGAGCTTTGAACTCCCCGGGCTCAAGCAATCCTTCTGCTTGGCCTCCCAAAGTGCTAGGATTATGTGGGTAAGCCACTGCACTCTGTCATTTTTGTGGTATTTAAATTGGATAATTTGAGTAAAGAGAATAATGCTTGGTGCATAGTAATTACTCAACACACTTATTGTAGTATATATTATAGCCATTATTATATACTTTGCCATTTACTTTGTGGCCTGCACTAGTGTTTATAATTAGTGACTATTTCCTTTAGTTTTTATACTTGTCAGAAGAATGGCAATACTTAGCCTCTGTTTTACCTGGGTATTGCTATTTGTGCTTATTGCAATAATTAGCTTTTACAAATTGGCTCTAGGAATCTCACAGAAACACTCAATTATTTTTGTTCTTCCTATCTCGTTCCTGTTTCCATCTGTCCTCTGATACAAAGCCTTAACAGCCCTTTTGTCATATGTTTCTTTGATTTTTTCAGTTATAGCTAAATATTATATATCATGCTTATTTTTTGTATTCTGGTAGCTCATTTGTTCTCAAAATCTTGCACTTTCAACTTTTAAACATTTCGTTTATTGTCTTGGCTGGACGTGGTGGCTTGTACCCGTAATCCCAACACTTTGGGAGGCCGAGGCAGGCGGGTCACGAGGTCAGGAGTTTGAGACCAGCCTGGCCAATATGACGAAACCCTGTCTCTACTAAAAATACAAAAATTAGCCTGGCATGGTGGCATGGGCCTGTGTCCCAGCTACTCGGGCGGGAGGCTAAGACAGGAGAATCGCTTGAACCCAGGAGGTGGAGGATGTAGTGAGCCAAGATCGTGCCACTGCACTCCAGCCTGGGCAGCAGAGTGAGACTCTGTCTCACACACACACAAAAAAATTCATTTATTGTCTCGTTTCAGTTCTACTTTGGGCAGCCTCTGGCTAGTAAGAGAACCAGTGTCTTGTGGTCTGGAGTTGTGGGATGGACACTGACTGGTCCCATTGGCTACAGCAGATGAAACTTGGTTGGGGCTGGAAGCCTTCCTATTTTTGTTTTCAGCATCTGGCTGGCTGTGTGTGTGTGTGTGGTGTGTGTTGTGTGTTGTGCTAGTATTACTTATATATATATATATTTTTTTTTTTTTTTTTGAGATGATGTCTAGCTCTGTTGCCCAGGCTGGAGTGCAGTGGCACAATCTCGGCTCACTGCAACCTCCGCCTCCCGGGTTCAGGCGATTCTCCTGCCTCAGCCTCCCGAGTAGCTGGGATTACAGGCACCCACTACCACACCCAGCTAACTTTTGTATTTTTAGTAGAGACGGGGTTTCACTGTGTTGGCCAGGCTGGTCTTGAACTCCTGGCCTCATGATCCGCCCACCTCGGCCTCCCAAAGTGCTGGGATTACAAGCGTGAGCCACCATGCCTGGCCCTGGCTGGTTATATTTTAAATAGAATTCGCTCTTGACAAATTTATGAATTAGGTATTATAAACCCCATTTTATACATGAGGAAATTGAGATAGTAATTACATCATTCATTGTCACTCACCTGATAAATAGCAGAACTCATCATCAAACCAAGCTTTGCAGACACCTTATCCTTTTTCTACCATACAATACTTGCCCTTAGTAAGTGTTATTTCAGCTCACAAAGAGGAGGAAGTTACAATTGTGAAGAATACATTTCATTTTTACCTTTGTTATTTATTTTTAGAGACATTTTAAATCCTAAGGATGTGATCACAACTCGCTTTGAGAATTCCTCTCCTAGCAAAGATTTCTGCAGCCAGTCATGCTTGTCGTCTTATGAGTTAAAGAAAAAACCTGTTGTTACCATATATACCAAAAGCATTTCAACTAAGTGCAGTATGTGTCAGAAGAATGCTGATGTAAGTTACATTTTACTTTTATTGGGATTCTGCTCAAAGAGATTTTTTTTAGCTGGCTCTGCTTATTTTGTGTATGTGTGTGTGTGTTTATTTCCTAGACTCGATTTGAAGTTAAATATCAAAATGTGGTACATGGTCTTTGTAGTGATGCCTGTTTTTCAAAATTTCACTCTACATACAACCTCACCATGAACTGTTGTGAGAACTGTGGGAGCTATTGCTATAGTAGCTCTGGTCCTTGCCAATCCCAGAAGGTTTTTAGTTCAACAAGTGTCACGGCATACAAGCAGGTATGAATATCTATTTGTTGCATGTAGTTAGGCCCACTCCTTCTGATTTGGCTGCACAGGGATGAACTAAATGAGAGTGAGTTCCTTCCATTAGTCCATCCTGATATGTGATTTCCCTTCCAGAAAATGAGATATATTCTGATGGTGCGAGGGATGATTGTGATGGTAAGTTGATATAGGTAAAATAAGTCCCTTTTTAAAGGCTCCCTTCATAGCTAAGAATTCACAAATGAGATTTCTTTTCTTTTCTTTTTTTTTTTTTTTAGTTAAGATGGGGTTTTGCCATGTTGCTCAGGGCGGTCTTGAACTCCTGAGCTCAAGCCATCCACCCACCTCAGCCTCCCAAAATGCTGGGATTACAGGCGTGAGTAACCACGTCCCGGCCTCAAATGTAATTTCATGATTTTCTTTGAGCATGAAATATTTTGTGATGTATTGATAGCAAGAATACTGTATTATAAATAAGCCATAAGCAAGAGTTAAGATGATAAAATCAGTGAATCTAAACAAAGCTTGTCTTTTTCATTTTAAAATGTGTTTGGGAATGAATTGTAATTATTTGGTCAACACTGTCTTATGAGAATACTTCAAGTAATTTTATTTATTGTAATGAATAAATGCAGTAAGCATGTTACTAAATATATCACCTTGTGTCAATTTAATTATTACTGATTTGTGGTTTTAAAAAGTTTTTCTTAAAGATGTAAAGATGTATCTTGTAAATGATAATTAAACGTTTTTTTCAGTTAGCAAGTTTGATTTGTTACTTCCTCTGAGCAGTTGGTAATGGACATATGGACATTCATCACTGAAAATAATCTCTTTTTTTAAGAATTGCCATTTTTGGCAGTCTGGTTACTACTTTCACAGGAAAAGAATCCATGTTATTTTATATATGATCCCAAAATGAGTTCCATTTCTAATTTTGTTACTAGTATTGTGCTCTGTCTTTTTACTAGGAAGATTATGCCATGAAACCTCAGAATTTATATTTTCCTACGATTTCCTTTCATATTGAGAGACCTTATAATGTGTCACTGACAGGGTAGTGTAGTGGTTAGGAGCCTGAACTTTGGAGCCTGATGAAATGAGTTTAATTTCCTACTTCTTCTGCTCATCTGTTAATTTAATTAAAGTTAATTTGAACTTTTTGTTAATGTAATTTTTGAGAGCACTTCACTCTGTCGTTAAAAGGATTCTGTGACACACTATATATCAATTGCTTAGCCTGGGGCCTGGCTCATGATACGCATTTAGTAAGTTATAGTATTGGTTATGTAAATGGTAGCTATTTTTATTATTTCTTAAAACATGAATAAACTTATGAGCAGATTTTATTATGAAACTCAGCTTGAAAAATAGATCGTTCTGTAGGATCTCTATTAATATACATTAAGTATCATTTCTATCTCCTGCTGAAGAATCTCACAAATTAAGTAACCTTAAAGGTGGTAGACTCTTCTAGATTGATGTACAAGACTATACCGAGAATGGCCCTTTGGTTCATGGATTCGCTGGTCTTCTCTGATTATTGGTGATGAAAAAGTATGTAATGATTACCTGATTCATTACTTGTGTTTGAATTAATGTGTTTTGTTTGCTAAGATCTCTATCTGAGTAGTTACTAATTTCTTCAGTTTCTATTTTATTACTGTCTGGAAGAACTTATTTTCCCACCTCCCAATAGTGTGGTTTCATCATCATGCTCAAATATTTCAACCAAGAGCTGTGGTTGTAGGTAGCTTTTCTTTTTAGTTTTTTGAACAATATGTAAATATGTATGCTTGTACTAGGTATCTGATGTTCTTTTATTTTAATAGAATTCAGCCCAGATTCCTCCATATGCCCTGGGGAAGTCATTGAGGCCCTCAGCTGAAATGATTGAGACTACAAATGATTCAGGAAAAACAGAGCTTTTCTGCTCTATTAATTGCTTATCTGCTTACAGAGTTAAGACTGTTACTTCTTCAGGTAATGTTTAAATTTGATAAATTTATATATTTAATAACTATTGAAGAAAAATGTAACTGCTTTTCTTTGATTTTGTTACAAGCTAAATTTATCTCGTTAGTTAAATAAAGACCCAAGATTGACTTTTAAATAACTGACTTGTATGTGAAAATAGTTTTTCACTGATTTTCTTGGTTGCAATATATACAATATTTTGTAGTTTCATATGTGAGAAGAAAGAAAAAACACTTAAAATTTCCAAGTTCGTTTCTGTCTAAGTGGGACTTAATAGAGGTTAGTTGTAGTTAGATTTCAGATTTTTGTAAAGTTCCTTGATTTTTTTAGTATATTATTATTTAATTTTTTCATTTTCCCAATACATTTTTGTATTGTTTGTTCATTGGTATAACTTAATCATTGTTTTTTATTTTTTGTCATCAAGGTGTCCAGGTTTCGTGTCATAGTTGTAAAACCTCAGCAATCCCTCAGTATCACCTAGCCATGTCAAATGGAACTATATACAGCTTCTGCAGCTCCAGTTGTGTGGTCGCTTTCCAGGTATGATCTGAGGTAGCACATCATGCATGTGATTCTCTTAGGCATTGATCTGTGGCACAGTGTTAACTGCTGAAGGCCTGTTCTTATGAAAATTTAAATTTGAATTAAAAAGAAAAAATTTGTTTTATTTCATCCAGGGTCCCAACCAGGTCATTTCTATAAAATATCTGAACCCAGATATTGGGTCTTAGCAATTTCTTCTTTATTTAGGATACTTGCCTAAACTGTCATTCCCTCCCACTTTCTCCCTTGGGTCTCTCCCCTTCACAAAGATGGAAGCTAGGATTATGGTTTGGGTATGGTGAAGAACAGTAGCCTGATGGGATTCACATGCCCCTTCCTCTCTCATCCTGGGTCAGATACCTAGTGACTCCTGGCATGGAATTGTAAGCATCCACTTGTCCCATTTTCTCCTCCCTCTCTGCAATACACACACAGAGTAGAGTTTAGTAATCTCCGGGGTAGGAACATGCCTGATGCAGTATCCCTGGCATTAGGGAGAAAGAGACTGTTGGTGGCTGTTGTGTCTTAATAGCCATCAGAAGCTGGTTGATAATGGGAGTGCAGGTAGGGGTAGGTTTTGGGGGGAAGGAGAAGCCTGCTCTAATTTATTAGAGGCATACATTAGAGGTCTTTGTCAGGAAAGCCTGAATTCCAGTCCTTGACCTTTTAATGTTGTATTTCTCAGTCCTTTTATTGTGGAAGTATGCCATTTAAACTCTTTCCGTGACATAGAAAATTTTAAAAAATGTTTGTGGGGGACTTGATTTATTAAAGTGAGGGCATGAAAAGTACCAAGTTATCTTATTTCTCACTTGATAAAATCTTTACCTTATTTGTTTTCATTCAGAATGTATTTAACAAGCCAAAAGGAACAAACTCTTCAGCGATGCCCCTGTCTCAGGGCCAAGTGGTTGTAAGCCCGCCCTCCTCCAGGTCAACAGTGTCAACAGGAGGAGGTAACACCTCTGCCGTTTCCTCCAGCTCCATCCGTGGCTCTGCTGCAGCCAGCCTCCAACCTCTTGCTGAACAATCCCAGCAAGTTGCTTTAACCCACACAGTTGTTAAACTCAAGTGTCAGCACTGTAATCATCTGTTTGCCACAAAACCAGAACTTCTTTTCTACAAGGTAAAGAGAGATCATGAAAGGGATTGAATATAAACTTATCCAGTGGAAACACTTTTGTGTTTTCAATTTTGAACACTCAGTTTACTTTGACATGAAAATGACTTCTTAAAGATAAAGCAACTGTTTAGTTAGCTCTTAATGACTCTTGTTTTTCTGCAGGGTAAAATGTTTCTGTTTTGTGGCAAGAATTGCTCTGATGAATACAAGAAGAAAAATAAAGTTGTGGCAATGTGTGACTACTGTAAACTGCAGAAAATTATAAAGGAGACTGTGCGATTCTCAGGGGTTGACAAGCCATTCTGTAGTGAAGGTAAAGACAAAGTTGGTTTATCCACAGAGCATGGGTTGTTATAATTCATGATGACTTGGGCAATTAAGCCACAATTAGTTTTCACATTCTTTTTGTCTTATGAGGTATAATTAGAAGTATTTTGGAGGCCTGGCACTGTGGCTCACGCCTGTAATCCCAGCACTTCGGGAGGCTGAGGCGGGTGGATCACTTGAGGTTGGGAGTTCAAGACCAGCCTGACCAACATGGTGAAACCCCATCTCTATTAAAAAACCCCATCTCTATACAAAATTAGCTGGGCATGGTGGCGCACGCGTGTAATCCTAGCTGCTTGGCAGCCTGAGGCAGGAGAATTGCTTGAACCTTGGAGGCAGAGGTTGCAGTGAGCCGGTATCGTGCCATTACACTCTAGCTTGGGCGACAAGAGTGAAACACTGTCTCAAAAAAAAAAAAGAAGTTTTTCTGAATTGTGTTTATAGTTAATTCACTTTAAAGTCAATCTTTTTATTTATTATTTTTATTTATTTATTTTTTTGAGACAAGGTCTTGCCCTGTCACTCAGGCTGGAGTGTGGTGGCATGATCTTGGCTTACTGTTATCTCCGCCTCCCTGGTTTAAGGGATCCTCCCACTTCAGCCTCCCAAGTAGCTGAAGCTACAAGAGCATGCCACCATGCCTGGCTAATTTTTTTTATTTTTTGTAAAGACGGGGTTTCACCATGTTGTCCAGACTGGTCTTGAATTCCTGAGCTCAGGTGATACTCCCGCCTCCGCCTCCCAAAGTGCTGCAATTACAGGCATGAGCGACTGTGCATGGACAAAAGTCAGTCTTTTTAAATGTTGCAATAATTGCAATAAAAAACTGTAAAAATGATTATATCAGTGGTATTAATAAAATCTCTTTATAAGTTTAGCTATGACATCAGAGATCTTTTTGTTCTCGCACTCATTTGTAAAGAAGAGCTTAAAAGTTGCTGCTTCTTGGCTTAAAAAACTTTTATACCTCTGATGTTTCTGAATATAAATGGCCTAATATTTAGAGTATATTTAAAAGGTGGGGGCCAGGCGCAGTGGCTCACGCCTATAATCCCAGCGTTTTGGGAGGCTGAGGTGAGCCAGATCACCTGAGGTCAGGAGTTCCAGAACAGCCTGGCCAACATGGCGAAATGCTGTCTCTACTAAAAATATAAAAATTAGCTGGGCGTAGTGGCAGGCGCCTGTAATCCCAGCTACTCTACTCAGGAGGCTGAGGCAGGAGAATCACTTGAACCCGGGAGGCGGAGGTTGCAGTGAGCTGAGATCATGCCACTGCCCTTCAGCCTGGGAAAAATGAGTGAGACTCTGTCTCAAAAAATAAAATAAAATGAAATAAAAGGTGGTATAAGTTTGGTTTGTGAATATAGAGACTGTCTTGTAATCTAGAGGCAAATAATTGTGTAAGTATTAGAAGACCACAGAAACTTCTTATACCTCCTCAGTTAATGTAAATTTGATCTTTCTTCCTTTCATCCCTCTGATCCTCAGTTTGCAAATTCCTATCTGCCCGTGACTTTGGAGAACGATGGGGAAACTACTGTAAGATGTGCAGCTATTGTTCACAGACATCCCCAAATTTGGTAGAAAACCGATTGGAGGGCAAGTTAGAAGAGTTTTGTTGTGAAGATTGTATGTCCAAATTTACGGTTCTGTTTTATCAGGTAAAGGTGATAATATACTTTTTTTGGCTTTCTGAAATCAGTGCAAATTGTTTTCTATTTAAAATATATTCAAATTATGTCAAGAAAAATTTGGTGTTTAGCACTGGATAAAGTAAGTTATGGGCTATAACAAAAATTCAGTTGAATATAAACATGAACTCTTTGGGATAAAAAGTATAGGATTTCTGCAGACTTTGTTGTTGATTGGATATGGTCCTTTTATTTTTGCCTTCTTATAAGGCACATTGCCCTTATTTGACTTCTTTCAGGTTAGAACTTCACATAATGTTGCCTGAAGTGGCTCTCTCATTCAGGTTACTCTGAGGAATTTGAAGTCAGACCTTGTCTCACTTCATAGGTCAAAGGACAATAGCTGGCAACTATTCCTACCTCATTTTAAAAAAGATTAACTTTTTGAAAGGCTAACAATGGTAGCTGCAGTTAATTGAACCACTAATACATGTCTGGTGCTCCGTAAGTGTCATTTCATTTAATCCTACCATAGTCCCAAGAGCTAAGAATATTATTGCCATTTTATAAATAAGAAAAAGGAGAGAGGTCCAGGGAAGTTAAGTAATATGCTCTCGAGGAAGCTGATAGGGGACAGGAAGACAGCATCTATAACACTCTGGTGAAATCACTGTTTGCTTGTCTACCTCACCCCCAAAATAGAATTTTATTGTTGGGGGAGGGTAATCTATTTTTCATGATTCTATAATTAGGGCCAATCACAGTGCTTAAGACAAAGGATGTCTAATTAAATATTTGCTGAATGAATCAAAACCTTTATGACTCCAAAGTCCATATTATATCAACTGCTGTAAGCTGCTGCTTAATTTTTTTAAAGTTGAACCTATCTTTATTTTTTTTTTACTTATTTTTTTCATTGTGTATCTTTTCTTCCCCCACCCCACGCTGCCCACCCCCCACCCCACTGCCAGACAGAACCTTGTTCTGTTGCTCAGGGTGGTGTGCAGTGGCGTGATCAGTGGGTGATGTTGGCTCCCTGTAGCCTCCGCCTCCTGGGTTCAAGCGATTCTCCTGCCTCAGGCTCCCGAGTAACCGGGAAAGGTGCGCACCACCACGCCCAGTTATGAACCTATCTTTAGACTCCCTTATTGGTAATTTTGAAAACAAGAGCATTTTTTTGTTTTGTTTTGTTTTGTTGAGACAGAGTCTCACTCTGTCGCCCAGGATGGAGTGCAGTGACGTGATCTTGGCTCACTGCAACCTCTGCCTCCCGGGTTCAAGCAATTCTCCTGCTTCAGCCTTCTGAGTAGCTGGGATTACAGGCGTGTGCCACTGCGCCCGGCTAATTTTTGTATTTTTAGTAGAGATGGGGTTTCCTCATGTTGGTCAGGCTGGTCTTGAACTCCTGACTCTGTGATTCGCCTGCCTCGGCCTCCCAAAATGCTGGGATTACAGATGTGAGCTGCCATGCCTGGCCACAATTTTTATATTATCTTGATTTAGGGCATCTATATAAAACAAAGAATTAAATAAAATCAGTATTTTAAGGTAAGAACCTTACATTTTGTAGTCTCAACTGACTCATATATCCTGTGTTCATAGTGCCTCTTTTTATGATTAATGTTATCTTTTCATTATTTTATAGTTTTAAGCCTATCTTGTCCAACGTTTCTTTCTCAGATGGCCAAGTGTGATGGTTGTAAACGACAGGGTAAACTAAGTGAGTCCATAAAGTGGCGAGGCAACATTAAACATTTCTGTAACCTATTTTGTGTCTTGGAGTTTTGTCATCAGCAAATTATGAATGACTGTCTTCCACAAAATAAAGGTAAAATTAAACTTAGCTAATGGGATTTTTATGTCAGTGCTAGGACACTATCAGCACACACAGTTATAAATAATATAATAAAAACAAAATTTCATTGGATTCAAATAGCCTGAATTTCCTTAAATTTTTCTTTAAGAAGTCTTTAAGATTTCCCCTTGAGGGAAAAGTGATTATAATACTTTTTGCTCTGATAGTCAAGCACAGCAAAAGGCCAATAATGTATCTGCACTAATTTTTATAAGAAACTTGTTTTTTTGGTTGTTGTTTTTTTGAGACGGAGTCTCGCTCTGTCGCCCAGGCTGGAGTGCAGTGGCGCAATCTCGGCTCACTGCAAGCTCCGCCTCCTGGGTTCACACCATTCTCCTGCCTCAGCCTCCCGAGTAGCTGGGACTACAGGCGCCAGCCACCAAGCCCGGCTAATTTTTCCTGACCTCGTGATCCACCCGCCTCAGCCTCCCAAAGTGCTGGGATTACAGGTGTGAGCCACCACGCCCGGCCGGAAACTTGTATTTGATTGCTTTTGATTGAATGTATCTGTCCATAAATAACTTAAACTAGGGATATATACTATTTAGTTCATAAACCAGAAATAAAAATAGAAAATCAGGGCAAACAAAGGGAGAGTATAGTTAATACAGTTGCTGTGACTAATGTAAAATTTGATTCAGAGCTTGCTTATAGGCAAGAAGAAAAGAACAATACATTAATTATCTCAGAAAATACAAAATAGACCGGTTCTACATGGGTAGCAAAGTTGATCCTGGCTAAGAATAAAATAATTTTGCAAGTAGGACAGCTAATGTGGTCAGAATATTCAGATGAGTAGATAGATCCATGGTGTATTCATAAAGTAGCTCTCCTAAATATTTCTTTCTCAGTATTAGATTAAAAACATTTGGTAGCCAGGCGCGGTAGCTCGCACCTGTAATCCCAGCACTGTGGAAGGCTGAGACGGGCAAATTACTTGAGGCAAGGAGTTTGAGACCAGACTGGTAATCGTGGTGAAACCCCATCTCTACTAAAAATGCAAAAATTAGCCAGGTGTGGTGGTGTGTGCCTGTAATCTCAGCTACTCAGGAGGCTGAGGCATGAGAATTACTGGAACCCGAGAGACGGAGGTTACAGTGAGCCGAGATCACACCATGGCACTCCAGCCTGGGCAATAGAACGATATTCTGCCTCTCAGAAGAAAAAAAGCCGCTTGGTATTATGTTCTCTGATCAAAGCCTGGAGTGCTACCTAATTGACAGAGCTTTGGCTCCTTGCAGTCTGGCCATTGCCTGCCTTTGCAGCCTAATTAATGATTACCTTAATCATAAATGCCTTGTGCTAATCTTTTGTGTTAGCCTTCCATTCCCCAGAACCAGTCAAGTTGGTGGTAGAATATTCATTTTATAATATGGGTTAAGAAAACCAGTGTTATGGGGTTGGACAGCTCCTTCATTAACTTATTTATAAAAATTGTCATGTTAAGTTTTTTTTTGATGCACGCTTAGGTCTAGGAGTTTTAATAGTTACTAATAGAACAGCCCAGTGAATCCTGAAGCTAATACCTTTTTGTTGTTGTTGTTGTTGTTGTTGTTGTTGTTGAGACTAGGTTTTGCTATGTTGCCCAGGTTAGTCTTGAACTCCTGGTCTTAAGTGATCCTCCTGTCTCAGCCTCCCAAGTATCTGCGATTACAGGCTGGTGCCGCTGTATCCAACACCTGTATTTCTACCTGTTAAATGTCATTTGAGGTTTATAATTTTATAGAATTGGACTCTCTTAAGTCCTAATGAACACTAATCTGACCAGAGTCACCCAACCTAACATTACACAGAATCAGATATTTGTATTGCTTCTTGAAAACCTAGTTACTAAACAGGGTTTTGTGTGTGAGTATGAGTGTGCATGAGAGAGAGACCCTTTTGCTTATTCCAGGTCTTAACTTTTTATTTTAATCAGTAAATATTTCTAAAGCGAAAACTGCTGTGATGGAGCTCCCTTCTGCAAGGACAGATACAACACCAGTTATAACCAGTGTGGTGTCATTGGCAAAAATACCTGCTGCCTTATCTACAGGGAACACTAACAGTGTTTTAAAAGGTATGACTTGATATAATGACATTTGGCTAAGCCATAGAAGTGAGTGTTGTCTAGCCTAAGTAGTTCTCTTTTTTTGAGACAGAGTTTCACTCTTGTTGCTCAGGCTAAAGTGCAATAGCGGGATCTCAACTCACTGCAACCACTGCCTCCTGGGCTCAAGCAGTTCTCCTGCCTCAGCCTCCCGAGTAGCTGGGATTACAGGCACCTGCCACCATGCCCAGCTATTTTGGTATTTTTAGTAGAGACGGGATTTCACCACGTTGGCTAGGATGATCTCAAACTCCTGACCTCAGGTGGTCCACCTGCCTTGGCCTCCCAAAGTGCTGGGATTACAGGTGTGAGCCATTGGCCAGTAGTTCTTACTGGTAATACCTTTCTTTATGTGATGTAGGGGGAACATGCACCCCCTCCCGCCGCCCCCCCACCCCCACCTCAGGGGAGTGGGTAGCAATTAAGGTGGTGTGGATGGGAAAGGAAGTGTCTTTATTTTGTTTTTTCAATTTTTAATTTTTTTTTTGAGACAGAGTCTCACTCTGTCACCCAGGCTGAAGTGCAATGGTGCAATCTGGGCTCACTGCAACCTCCGCCTCCCAGGTTCAAGCAATTCTTCTGTCTCAGCCTCTTGAGTAGCTGGGTTTACAAGTGCCTGCCACCACACCCAGATAATTTTATATTTTTGGTAGAGATGGGGTTTCACCATGTTGACCAGGCTGGTCTGGAGCTCCTGGCTTCCCACCTTGGCCTCCCAAAGTGCTGGGATTACAGGCCACCACACCGGGCTAATTTTTTTTCTTTTTTTTTTTTTAATCAGGTAGGCTCTTGAGCCATAGAAGGTTCAGAGACACTCCCCAGGAAGTGATATTTTTTTAGGAGCCCAAATTATTTTAATATTCCTACTCCTTTACTGCCAGAGATTCTAATACAGTTGGATGGGGTTGGGGCCCATGAGTCCTTACCAATGTTAAGCACCCTGGGTGATACTGATGCAGTTTCCTTGTACCATGTTTCTGAGAAATTCTGGTTTAGACTCTAGCCCAGCTTAATGGGAGGAAAGTAACTTCTCAGTTTCAGTGTTTACTTCTGTATATTCTAAGGATAATAATGTTTATTTTAATTTACAACAGGTGCAGTTTCTAAAGAGGCAGCAAAGATCATTCAAGATGTGAGTTTGATTGTTAATACTTTTCTTGATAATGCCACTTGGGCTTATTTTCACTTTGGATATAGCATTCTAATATATCCAAATACTTTTCTTTTTGCTGGAAGAGGGTCCTAGTCATTAATCTAGGTCTTGGGTACAACTAACAGTAAAGTGACTGACATAGGCTTTTGACCATATTTCAGCAACAATTACTGTTTTTGAAGATGATGTAAACGTGGATTGCTGTTCATAGTGGCAAGCTTAGTTTTTAAAAAAGTGGAGTGATATATTGTGCGCTTTTGTTTTGAATCTTACAGTTTAATCTTAGATCATTAGTAAGAATGCATTCTTGATTTATTTTATTATTTATATTCAGGTTCTTTAATTTATTTAAATTCTTTTTAATTCTACTTGGTTGGAAATAACAAAACTACATTATTTTTCTCTTTTACTATATTCAAGTATTTTCCTTTTAAGTTTCGAAAGTTCAGTGTAGTCCTGTTTTATGCAACTTTGAATTATGTGAGACTGAAAATAGTGCAAAATAAAAATACATTTAGACTTTCACTTTATGTCTCAAATTTGAAATATTGTGAGACTTCTCAAAATTAAAAGAAATGTTCAAGAAATGCATACTTTCAAGTCTGGCAGGCTGACTGCAAATTATGGCATTGTTGCCTTGTATCAGCATCACTTTAGCAGGAAAACAAAATTCTCGTCATTCTTTATTAGTATCACATGATACTGTATCAGTTCTTGGGTTAATGTTTTTGATGACTGTTATGCCTTTTTTTTTTTTTTTTTTTTTCTTTTGAGACAGGGTCTTGCTTTGTTGCCCAGGCTGGAGTGCAGTGGCATGATCATAGCTCACTGCAACCTTGAAATCCTGGGCTCAAGCAATCCCCTACCTCAGCCTCCTGAGGAGCTAGAACCACAGGTGTCTGCCACCACGCCCAGCTTGTTTTGGTTTTTTCTTTTGTTGAGATAGGGTCTCAGTCTTGCTATGTTGCCCAGGCTAGTCTCAAACTCCTGGCCTCAAGTGATCCTCCCGCCTCAGCCTCCAAGCTGTTGTGATTACAGGCATGAGCCGATGGCGCCCAGCTTGTGCTGCTGTCTTAAATTTGCTCTTGAGATAATTAAAACTCTTTTTCATATCATATCATATAATATAAATGCCATTATATTAAGTGGTGGTGCTAGTGCTAAAAAATGTGCCCCAAATTTAATAACTTTAGAACAAAAGTTAGATGTGATAAAAAAATCTATGAAGATGACCAAACCACTGCTGTGATATCTCATGCTATTAATTTAGGAGAGTGTACCCTGCAGAATATTAGTGGTAGTGCTCAAAAAACCGAAAGCAGTATTAAAGCAGGTATGCCTCTTAGTTCACAAAAATTATAACCAGGCATTGATAATGGAATAAATGGAAAAAGTTCTGGTAACACAAGTTGCAAGATCAATGCTGCCCTAATGCACCCCTGAGGGCAATCTATCATCTATGCTAAGGCATGAGTATTCTGATTTTGATTTGAAAAGAGGTGACAGTGAGACAAAAGGTTTACTACAAGTCATGGCTGGCTTTCCAACTTTAAAGCTCACCAAGGTTTTAGGAATATAAAAATGAGCCGGCAGGCTGTATCTGCTAACTCCAAAGCTCTCAAAACATTTCAGCCTTACCATAATTTAAAGAGGCTTTAACTTGGAAGACAACATAACAACATAACACCTGCTAATAAGGAATCTGTGCAAGTAGAACAGAAGGTAGATTTGCATAGAGTTCCTGAAGAGGATATTGAATATTTGCTTGGGTTGTTCCCCATGGATTAATAAAGGAAGTCTTGCTAGAATTAGAAAAATAAAAGCAGCTGGAAGAGGGTCCTAGCAGTCAAGCCAGGCCTTGGGCACAACTGACAGTAAAGTGACTGCCATAGGCTTTTGACCATATTTCAGCAGCAATTACTATTTTTGAAGGTGAGCTAAATGTGGATTGCTGTTCGTGGTGGCAAATCTAAAGATGAAAAATGTGTCTGCATACCAAGAAATCCTCAGTGAAAAAAAAAGAAAAAGAAAAACTCTCAAGCTACATTAGATTCATTCTTTAGCAAAAGTCTTCCAAGGAATCAGACCAGCCTTCACTGAAATGTGGAGAGATAGCTTGTCCTAATTTAGTGTCTTGTAACCCTCTCATTATTTGTGTTATTGGAAGATGATAGTAATTTCTCCTTAATTATTTTCAAGCAGCATACCACATTAGATAATGAACTGTCATTAAGTTAACTTGGTATTTATTTGAATATTATGTATTGTGCATTAAATTATATTTTAAAATTACATAGTAAATCACTGTGTTGTACATTAATTATTAACCACACAATTGTATAATCAAGATATTAATGTATTATTATATATTAGTATTAACATGTATTCATAAAAACATCCTATATTAATTATAGATTTATGTACTCTGAGAATGTTTCTTTCCTCTATATATATGAGATAATTAGTCTTGAATTATGTTAGTTTTGAATTATTTAGTTTTTTAGGAGCCTATACCTCATATTTCATGTAGCTGCCCTATATATGTTTTTCCTATGTGGAGTATTTGTTTTTTTTTTTTTTTTGAGACGGAGTCTCACTCTGTCCCCCAGGCTGGAATGCAGTGACCCGATCTCAGCTCACTGCAAGCTCTGCCTCCCGGGTTCACACCATTCTCCTGCCTCAGCCTCTCGAGTAGCTGGGACTGCAGGCGCCCGCCACTACGCCCAGCTAATTTTTTGTATTTTTAGTAGAGACAGGATTTCACTGTGTTAGCCAGGATGGTTTCGATCTCCTGACCTCGTGATCCACCTGCCTTGGCCTCCCAAAGTGCTGGGATTACAGGCGTGAGCCACCGTGACCGGCCCCTATGTGGAGTATTTCTATAATTCACCAGTCATTTAAACTATGTTACAGAAAAGGTTTGATTAATATTTTTACTTTAGTCTATAAAAAGCATAATAATAAATAATGTAGTGCTCTTACAACATGAAAAAAAAACCTGACAGTTTTAGAATCTTTTCTTGGTTTCTCTGAGAACTTTGTTGTGAATCTCCCTCAAGTTACTTAAATGGTTTTAAATTTTTGGGAAAGGTGAAGAATACAGAAACTACAAAGAGGAAAATCTGTAAAACTCAGCAAACTTTTTCTTTAAAAGTCTAGATAGTAAATATTTTAGACTTTGCAGGCTCTATGGTTGCAACTGTAGACTCTGTCACCTCTGCCACTGTAGTGCAGAAGCTGCCATAAATAATACATGAAAGAGTGAGCGTGGCTATGTTCCAGTAAAATTTTATTTACAAAAACAGATGGTGGGCTGGACGTGGTGCACAGGCCATAGTTTGCCAACCCCTGCTCTATGATATTCCCACCATCCAGAATTAACCATTGTTAGATTTGGTTTATTTGCTCAGTTTCTTTCCCCTACCTTTTTCTCTTCTTTAAAAAATTAATCACTGCTACCAGTTCATCTCCTTTTTACATCCCTGGAAGCAACTACTATTATGAGTTTAGTGTGTGTTCTTTTAGATGGTCTTGTAATCTTTCATATTTACAGATCCATGGAAAATATTTAATATTGTTTTTAAAAATATCTATCCATGTTGATACTGAGTAGGTTTGGTACATTCCTGTTGATTATAGTAATATTTTGCCTGTAGGTACCACATTTTATTTATCCGTTGCCCTATTGATGAACATTAGATCGTTTCCAGGTTTTCACTATTAAAAATCTTTGCAGCTAGGCACGGTGGCTCATGTCTGTAATCCCAGCATTTTGGGAGGCCAAGGTGGACAGATCTCTTGAGCTCAGGAGTTTGAGACCAGCCTGGACAACATGGCAAAACCCCATCTGTACTGAAAATACAAAAAATTAGCGAGGTGGTGGCAAGTGCATCTAGTCCCAGCTACTTGTGAGGCTGAGATGGGAGAATCACCTGAATCCAGGAGTTCAAGGCTGTAGTGAGCCTTGATTGCACCACTGCACTCCAGCTTGGGTGACAGAGTGAGACCCTGTCTCAAAAAAAAAAAAAAAAGAAAAAAAAAATCTCTGGGGCCAAGTGTGGTGGCTCACGCCTGTAATCCCTGCTCTTTGGGAGGCCAAGGATCACTTGAGTCCAGGAGTTTGAGACCAGCCTGGGCAACATGATGAAACCTCATCTCTATAAAAAATACCAAAATATTAGCTGGGTGTGGTGGTGCATTCCTGTAGTCCCAGCTACTCAGGAGGCTGAGGTGGGAGGGTTGCTTGAGCCTAGGAGGTAGGTCAAAGCTGCGGTGAGCTGAGATCACACCACTACACTCCAGCCTGGGTGACACAGTGAGACCCTGTCTCTAAATAAATAAATAAATAAAAATATCTGCTACAGTGAATATCCTTGTATATATCTCCTTCTGTGTGTGTAGATGTGTAGAAATGGAAGAGTGGAATTGTTAGGTCAAAGAGCATTTTCATTTTTAGGGCTGTTCCAACTTTTATCCCTACCAACAGTTATGACTGTACCCATATATTACAGCCTCACCATCATTTAATGTTGTCAGATTTAAACTTTTTTTCCAATCTGCTTGGTGGTATCTTATTGTTGTCTTATTTTGTGTGTCACTGATTACCAGTAGGTTTGCTTATATTTCTGTTTTTTGGTCATTTGAATTTTCTTTAATTTCCTGTTTTTAATTTTTCCCCATTTTTGTGTTGAATTATCTTTTTCTTAATGATTTTTAGGTGGTCTCTCTATAATCTGGATTTTCCCCCTTTTCAACTAATTATTTTCATCAACACAAAAATACGCAGTCCTACATCTTATCTGAGAATAATCCTTTTTTAACACCATGGCCCTCCAGCAACTATCCCTTTTCTCTGCTCTCTTTATGGAAAAACTCCTCTAAAGGTAGCCTGTTTTTGCCGCCTCTGCCTCCTTATCTGTTATCTCTCCTTAGGTCACTCCAGTCAGGCTTTTGTCTGCACCACTGCATTGAAACTGTTC